ATCAATCAAGAACTTAGCCAAGAAGCCTTTTACCCCGCTCCGGGTCTCCCAGTTAGACATTACATCAGCCTTTGTCAGATGTAGGGTTGTAGTAACATCCTCTAGCCTAAGAGCTATCTCCCAACCTGTAAATGGCGTCTGCTCTAGAATAGAAATACCAAGTAAATCAGAGAACTCCTCCAAAGTAGGGACCAACTGATAGTCCGGGAAGGTGAAACAGTGATGTAGCGGGTTAAAGAACTGGAACAAGACGCTCATCATTTGCTCATCCATCTTGGAAGTGACCAAACCAAGGAGGTGACCATGTCTTCTGACAAAGGAAGAAGTATCAGGAACTTTGGAAACCAAATCTCTAAGCTGAACAGGGATTTGTACGAAGTTGATCCGAATGGTATTTCTGCGCATAGATGCCATGATCTGCAAAACAGAACAAAGATGAATCCCCTCGGTCTTTGAAATGGGTTAGTCTAATGAAATATGCATGCAATGTCATGATGCATGATGTCATGATAGAAACACACCACAAGTATTCACAGATAGCAAACATGGTAAGGGCAAACAAGTCACACAGTAGCCCTTAGATTTCAGGGTGGCATGGAGTTTAGGTATTACCCTCTTTCAGTTTAGTTGGTTCAACCTGTCCTAGTAATAGTAACCGGGTTCTAGAGGATCTCAATATCACTGACCACCCTCAATTGGTCATGATTCCAGTTTAGCAACCTTTTCTTGCGGCCAGAATCATCGCGAGAGTTTGGTCTCAATGAGTGTAGCATACTGCTACTTTTCTATGGCCAAGTTGGTCAGTTATGGGTTCTAAGGTCAGTTGGTGCTTAATGACCCCTTAGCAGCCTCATATTCTCCTTGTTCCTCCACAAGGGATATCGGTACAAACTAAAGTGCCACAACAACGTAGCTACTGCTTCAACCGTATCGGTCTACGCCGTACAGTTCCCTCACAATCTATTGCTACTTACCTAAAAGGTATCCCCAGATCCGGGTTAGGATCTATAGTAACTCTGATTCAAACCCACAAAGATAAAGCATACAAATCAAGCAATTGAAAACATTATGATGAACTAGTCCTAAGGTACACCTCACTTATTAATTCCCCAGCAGAGTCGCCGGTTCTGTGATACGGTGGAAGAACTGACTGTTTTAGAAATGCTGGTTTGTGTTTTGCATTTGTTTTTGCAAAATGTCGCGGTAAGCAAGAGTCGTCACCGTCTTTTATTTTATCCAACAAGGAAAGGAAAAAAGCACAAAAAAATTCCTTTTTCGAGATATTTCTGAGTACGGGGGGTAGATTTATAGAAAGGGAAGGTATTAGCGCCCTTTCTACCCGTAGTTATCTATGGGCTCTTAGGTACTTTCTCATCATTTTCAAAATTGTTTTCTTTGTGTTTGTGCGCTTTGAAAAGTTTTTGTTTTGACTTCGATTTAACTTTTGCTTCTGTCTTCAAGAGTGTAATGAAGTATTTTTGAAAACTTTGTTTGTAAAAGAGTGTAAGTGTGAAACATTTGTTTTGATTGATCAAGTACTTAAGAACTAATCTACCTACTCGAAATAAGAATCGTTCTATGCTTGTTTCCTTTAGACAATGCTATCCCACTATTAGTGAGTAGGTAGCATCATCGTTGGAGTTTTGAGGGTCAATTCGAAAGGGAAGTACGGTCACTAAAGCAATGTTAGGACGTCTTAGTAATAACCCTAATATCTTAGATCATTTATCCGAGGCAACAATATCTGAGGCAACTTTTTCGAGGCAACTTGATCTTTGGACAAAAGGACGACCACTAAAACATCCTATACTCAATGGCCGTTTACCGAAGGCAACCAAGTGGGAGTGTACCCTAAGAGTGCGCATGTGTGAATGATTCAATTTCAGTTTATTTATCTTTGCACATTTAGGATGATCTAACTGTTTTAAAATTAATCATACATTCTTGTCATGCATCCCTATTATCATACATCTAACAGTTGGATATGTGCAGAAATTAAAGTGCGGAATTTAAACTAAGCTATTACAAGGCGTCGGGTATTTACATCGCCAAAAACAACCCTTTGAAAATAAAAGCAGTAAAAGTAAATATCCTAATTAAATTATTACAAACCGGGAGCAGATACAATAATTGAATAAAATAATAATAAAGCGCGCGATGCGAAATTAAATCGAATGTGAAATTAGGGTTTGACCCTCCTAATTAAAAGAAAAAAGTTTTTTTGTTGTTTTTAATATTTTTTTAAGAAAAGAAATTAAGTCCTAAAATTTAAATACTAAATTAATTGGTTATTAAATTAATTAATGAAAAATAATTTAAATGACATATTTTTGGATTTCTTGTTATTTTAGGAAAGAAATAAAATAATTAAGTTAGTGATAAAATCTAGTTATTCTAATTGATTTTTAATTATTTGCAAAATAAATGAAAGTTATCTAAAATTAACCTAATTAAGTTAATTAATATTTATTGAAAAAATAAAATTCTAAATTTATTTGGACATAAAAATATTTTTTGTGATTTTTTGATAAAAAAGAAAATTATTTTATTGGTTAGTAAATAAATAAAAATAATTAAATAGAATAAATAATAATAAAAAAAAGATGAGAAGATGAGAAATGGGCCTGAAATTAGGGTGTGAATAACAGTTTTCTGGGTCAAATTGTGCTGATCCATTTGACTTTTTGCAATTCAGTGCGTTGGCGTTGACTTGGTCTATGGTGTGCCTTCAATGGTGGCCACCAGATCTGGCCATCTGGCATGTTGATGAGGAAGGAGCAGGGTGGACATTAGGCTCAAGCGCATACTGGATTTCCTGTAAGAAAATAATATAGAGAAAATAGGGGGATCTGGGATTCGAACCCAGGCCCCAAAGGGGAATTTCATGCCAAGCCTACCACTGGACCACTTGATGCTGGTTGTTATAATATTAAAAGATAATAATAAAATATAAAAACAAATGTTAGTGGACAAAAATCAGAAAAACGCACCAATGTTTGAACAGGCCAGTAGGGGAGAGACACTTCATCGTCTCCTTCCTCTGCACCGTGGCTAAAAACCCAATGACCTATACCCACAGACAGTGTTCGTTGCTACAAGTCTGTGTATTTCCAAAATCCTCTACAGGCCATAGAAATAAAATCTAAAGCCATAGTTGTGTCCGTCTCGTCTTCCTGATCACAACCATACCCCTTTTGAAGGCTAATTGTACCTGAAAACAAAAACCCTAAAACCAAACTCGAAAACCTAATAATGGTGGATTTCGATTCAGTCCATATAAACGAAATTGAATAATTCCAAAAGCTTGCAAATGCTTTGTAGATTAAGATTATGCCATTATTTTACGCCATGAATGCAAGAACAAAGCTATTCGAATTCAAAAAGATGGTGATATCGATGCGGACTTACAGTGCGTGGGAGGGCTTGAAAGCGCTTGGTTTTGATTGCTTTAGGTTGTGGAGAATGCCAGGAAACGATTGGGAGAGGTATCGAGCCTTGAGGACGCCTCTAAGTGGGATTTTGAACTCACACTTTTTGCTTATTTTTTCAGACCTTGTTCTTGCTCTCACGCCTGATTTTCAACCTTGCTTTTGATCTGCACGCCGTCCGTATGTATCACACAATGCATTAGGGTTAATTCTTGTGTCCAAATCCTTCTCCATCAATGATTTTGATATTTGATTTGATTCTTCTTTAAAGCTTTCCAAAATTGGTCCAAATCCAATCTCTTTGTACACATATGCCTTGATACGAGTTTGATGATGGCTAGCTGTGATTTAAGACCTGAAATCATTACAAAATCCCTTGTTATCAATGTTTTGGATTTTTATTTGATTTATTTTGATTTAAATCAAATTAATTCAAATAAAAATCAAACTAATTAATAAAAATATGATACAGACAAGTGGAAAAGGCTAGAGCACGTGGGCTATGATTCCAACCCAAAACAAGTGAAAAAGAATGGGCCCATTTGGCAAAATTTGAAGTTTTGGGGATAGTTGACTTTTAGCAATTTTGCAAAAAAGGTCAACTTCAACAATGCACAACTTCCTCAATTTTGACTCTTTGGAGGTGTTCTTGGACTTTTTAGAAATCTTAAGATGTCCTCTAAGCAACTCTTTTGGTCTCATCTCATTTTGATATTCCATGCTCATGTATGAAGTTTTGACAAAAAAGGTATTTTTGTTGACTTTCCAAAATGACCTATAATGTCCAAATTCATAACTTCTTGTGAGTGCATATTTTAAACTTGGGAGCTGAAGATGGATTGTATGTAATTGCATCCTCTTCAAAATGAGTTTTGGATGGGTCATTTATCATAAAGTATGAGAAAGTTATGCTTGGTCAAAGTTGAGTTGACTTTTCCTACAAAACCCTAATTTAGCAACTTTTGAATCTTGGTGAATTATGAGCAATCCTTGATGAATCATGATCAACCCTTGATCAAATGATGAAATATACTTCAAAATGAGGATGTTGACCAAAAATCTTGAAGTTTGACTGTATGTGGGCCACAGTTGACTTTTGCCCTAGCACAGTCGATTATCAGGCCTTTGAGCAATTGACTAAGCAAACTTCCTCTGCAAGGCTTGAAACTTGACATGGATGATCTTGAGAACATATTAGGACAATGTTGAGCATTTGAGACCACTTGGACTCAAGGATCTTTATGCAACATGAAACCCTAATTTGGGGTAAACTGCCTTAGGAGAGAGCTTGTCTGACCAACCCTTGGACTTCTTTGAGCAACTTGGAGATCTTTCTTGCAATCTTTTTTGAGAAATACGGGAGGAAAAATTTTGGGGTACAACAACAACAATCAATTTAAAGGATTAATAAAGACACTCGTGTCCTGAGATCAATCTGATCGATCTCGCAAGTAACTGAATCCGTGAAAGGATTTGAAAGATCAGCGATTGTTTACCAAAATTCGAGGATAAACACATAGATCATACAAATGATAACTTGCCTAAGCAAATGATCTTTTCAGCTGACATCAATTATGAGCTTTGAGATGGTAGAATTGCTTGATAGTTGACACCCTGCTTTAAAACAAAAGGAGTTCTATGAGATGAATTGATATACTAATTTATCTATCATTTTAGCCCATATTTTCAAGAACATTACGAGAGGGCATATTATAGACGGCAGATATTCAAAAGCATAAAAAAGAGAACTAACATTTAGCACACTCCACAAAAGATTATTTCAAAAATAAAGCTTTGAGCATAGTGTTGGTCGTTAGACGTAATCCAAAAGAATCATAACTTAAAACCATAACATTTAGAAAACACATTATTTTAATGTCAATCCCTTCCTGATTTTGCTTAGACAAACCTAACTGCATTGTTTTTATAAAGCCATGACAAATGTATCGCCATCATGTAGCAAATATCCTACTACAAAATCATTGGTCAATATCTGAGCATTGTTAATCTAATATAGTATTTGGAATATCAAATGAGAAATTGGATGAGAAAGGTCCCCTCCACAACGATGTAGTGCAAAGAAGAATTAATGCCGTGTTGCAATCATTGTTTTACTGAAAAATAAAGAATGAGGCAACTACATCTACAACCCGAGTCACAATAGCTAACCTTCGTGGAGCTCATAAGAAATAACATTATCAACTTTCATTGTTCAATATAGAAGCAGATTTAATAATTTTAAAAATAGCATTAGAATGAGCAATCTCCTCCCCTAAAAATTGGGCTGCACCTAATTCACTGTTCCTGTTTCAACCTACATCAGTATGATGCTCAAATGAAATATTAACATTTGATGAAGAATATATGCATATTGCTTGTGTTTCCAGTTATTGGCTATTTAAAGCAGAACAATAATAAGGTAAATTGAACAAATCATTATTAATAACACTGGAATGTAGGATATAAAAGAAGCAATAAATTCATAAATGTTAAGACTATTATTTTAAATTAATCAAATGTATTTCAAACTTTACATTCCATTGGTTCACTTAAATAATAAAATATAAATAATTTAGGAACTTTCAGACCATTTAAATGAAGATGCAAAACTGAGAAAACGTTATCATTTTAATTAGCATGAATATGCATGAACATTTCCTTAAACACAAATAAGTTATGTATTTCCATAACAGTCACCATGTGTTTGACAAAAGGCTATAGCGAATTGTTATTGTTTTACAAAGAGATCGTTGATTAAAAGATTTAACTCTACTAAACTCGAACAATTAACAATGTCGCGTTGAAACTAACCCTTGAGTCTCATATTCGATAACTTAAGATTCAAGACTTTATTCTCATTAGGATGCCGTTGAAAAAAAAATCAAAAATAACATAAACACAATTCAGAACTTCACACAAACCAAGTCAACCATAAAAAAATAGAGCAAGTCAATAAAAATTACCCCATAAATAACCTTACTTTAGAACAAAACTAACACAACCATGACATAAAGGAAACAGAATCATCAAAAACATGAGAACTTCATTAAAGTAAAATAAACATATAAGAGTTCTAAAGAGAAATTCAAATGTAGCTGTTGACCTGTGCAAACATTTGACTCATTTAAAGTTGGAGTTTTTATGTCCAAGAAAAAAGATTGGTTTGGCTAAGATTTTGTGTTGTTCTGATTCATCAATTTCATGGTAGCCATATAATATTTGCTATCAAAAGTACTTCTAGAAGCCACCTGATTTAAATTGATAATAAATTTCATAAATAAAACAATAATCTAAATTCCAAATTTGATCCAAAATAATAGGATGGAAATACACATCAGATCACAAAATTTCTCATAGTCTATCCATGTATACCACTGGCCATCAATTTTAAACTTCTTAGTTTTTGCTAAGAGGAGAGACACTATTTATTTAGAAGTTATACAACAGTAAAATTTCAAGATTTCAAAGTTTACCAAAAGGGGATTATTCAAACATCACAACAACCTCTTTATCTTGATTTTTCGAAGCCACACAATCATTCATATCAGGTTGGTTCCCATTCAAAATTTGCTCATCCGACAAATCTCCACCTGCAAACAAAACACCATATAACATTAGCTACAAACGGTACATAAAAAAATATAAAATCATCCATACAAAAACAATATCAGATAAACACTCACTCATTCACAAAAACCAGTCATGTTCTATAACTTTAGTCCATTGACTGTGACATTGACATATATTTTGGTATTGGAACAGTTCAAACAACAGAGAGATAAAACTCTAAATACAGAAGAAATGAGAGAGAGGTAGGTACCATTGAGAGCGATAAAATGTTGTAAGAGAAGAGTAATAATTTTTGTAAACTCAATCTGCAACAACGATGAAGGTTGACGATAAAGAGTGAGCAGCAGTGCAGCGGTGCCAGTTCTGCAAATGTAAATAAATGAAATTTGCAGCGGTGACCCGTCTTCTCCCATGTACAAAACAAAAATAATCAAACATACAAAAAAGTTACCAAATTGAAAATCAAAATTGGTGAATGTGCTGACCAATTGAACAGAGAGTGAAATAGAAAGCCATTCGTCGATGTGAACGACAATGACGTTGAAGAAAAATATACAGTCAGGAAGAAGATTAGAGTTTATGGAAGCTGAATTGAGATATTCTTCTTGTGATTTAATGAGGTTGCATATTCAACGTGATTTAATATGGTTGCCGATTCTAATGATATGAAGCCTTGGAGAAGAATGGGGCTTTTCATTGCTCAAGAAAATTCAAATGTATTTGACTTTTCCTAAGTAGCTTTACATCATTCAAAGAGAAGCTTTTAATAAAACCAAAAGTATAATTTCGTTTTAAAATTAATTCAAATTGGATCCAAAAATTTAATGACATGACACATCATACATAATTAATGTCAAATGCTTGTGGTTTGAGTAAGTGTGTAATTAGACAAGAATAACCATGGTTTAAGAAAAGATTAGGCTTATAATCAAAAGGTTATCAAAAGGTTAGTAATGGAAAATCCAAACACTTTTGTTTTTATAAATCTATAAAAATGATAGTCCCTGGAAATTACCACAACACCACAGCTGAAAAAATTTATTGTTGGTCTATTGTATTGGGGTAAAATTGGAAACTCCAAAATATCTTGTACCACATTGATTTGAATCTGATGTGGCACTCCCACAATTTTTCACCACATTTTCAAATTTTTTTTTCCAAATAAATCCCACATATTATACTGTTTTTTAAAATAAAGAACCAATTCAATTTATTGTGCAGGCAGCGTGAGAAACCCAACCATGGGGAATACCAATTCATTATTCCTTGCCATTCATTGTGCCTCTCTCCCTCTTCCCCATGCCAAACCATTATGCCTCTCTTAATCAGAATTCAAATTCAAATGGAACACCAAAAGTTTTTCACTCTTCCTTCAATCCTTCCCCAATGTGTACTTATGTATAACCTCAATTGCTTAACACCTTCCAGTCGTTTTCATTCACGCAAGCCATTGCTACAGACGTCCCTTTCGTTTTCATTCACGCAAGGCTCTCTGCGCTGTTACGAATCGCTGCGTGACGATGGCGCGCCCAATCGAGTATATCAGTAGCATTGACGATTCGAAGGATTTGTGGAAGGTTGTTGTTAGATGTAAGCATTTGTGGTCTGTTACCAGTTCTCAGAATAGAGAGCACTTAGAGCTTATTCTGTTTGATTCAAAGGTATAATACAATCTAAACGTTTCTGCTTTGTCATTCTGATTTTGTTGTAACAATACTGGTATATGATACTGATTTCAAGATGTTTGTATTTTCACAGTTGGATTTGATTCAAGTCATTGTGCCATCTTATTTGGTATCAAAATTCAAAACACAGCTTGAACTTGGTTGTTCCTACATAATGCAGAATTTCAAAGTTTCCAGCAATGATTTCTCCTTCAAATCCACTGATCATAAGTTCAAATTGATTTTCTGTGGTTCAACTTCCGTCAAAAAGGTCCAACTTGCTGACATACCTCTGAACCACCTCAAGTTAATTGGAATAAATGCTATTATTGAGGGTAAATACAGAACGAATTTGTTATATGGTGAGTTACATTTTTACTGTTATAATAGAACGCATTGTATTGTGACTTCTCCGTTATACATAACTGTCTGTGGTGAACTTTTGTGCAGATATAATTGGTGGGGTTACTGAAATATCCCAAGCCCAGATAATTCCTGATAACAACAAAAGCAAGGTTGTGTTTTCATTAACTGATCTGAGGTAGGTGTTTCATTTTATTTGTTAACATTGATGTTGATAAATATAAAAGTCTAACATGTTCATGTTGTTTGTTTTGTAATTCCTGTCAATCAGCAAACATCATGTGCAATGTACTCTTTGGGGTAAATTAGTTGTGCAACTGAATGAGTATTATACGACTCATAAGGCTGATGGTAGTATTGTTCTCCTACTTATGAATGCAAGGATCAAGGAACCTCAAGGTATGCTATGTGACTATTTCTTATTATATCCAATTATTATATCCAACTTTAAGTGTTGTCATTTATAAATATCTCAATTTTCAGGAAATTATCCTTTAAATGTATCAAATGCTTGGAACGGCACAAAACTGCTCATCAATGATTTGTCTATTGAGGAGGTTAAAAACCTTAAAGAGAAGTAAGTGATTTTATTGTGAAGTTATGAATTAGCAACCTATAATTACTAACAGCCTGTTTTCATTCTGATCTATGTACATCAGACTTAAAGATGATCTGCCGACGCTCTCATCCTCGAGCATGCAAATGGAAACCACAAATACCTCTGTTTTTTCTGATTTGGACAATTTGTATGGAAAGCTGAAGTGTTGAGTCTGTCTGATATTGCATATCTGCAGACTGTAAGTTGCTCTTTAATACATGACTGTCTTAGATTGAGGAATTACACAGACTGGGTTCTAATCCATTTTTTGAGACATCATCCCATCTTTCTGTTTCAGGAAACTACATGTGTGATTGTTGCGACTCTGGAGAAGTTTGAATGTGGGCAGTCAGGATGGTATTATGATGGATGTAGTGAATGTACCAAAAGTGTGACTTTGAAGGATGGAAAATTCATGTGTTATTCCAAACACATCAGTTCTGAGCCAGTCCCAAGGTAACTTCTAAGTATTGCATATCAATGATTATCATCATATAACCAAACGCTTCATTACTGACAATTTCTTATTTTGATCACGCATGGTACAGATTTAAGCTTGAAGTGCTTGCCTCCGATGGAAAGTTAAAATACAAGTTCGTATTTTGGGATGTAGATTGTGTAAAGTTGATTGGGAAGTCCGCCCTTCAGATGAAGTTGGATTTGATGGAGGTATTTTCCATTTGGCTAATATGTAAGTTAGATAATTACCACATAAATAACATATATTGTTTTTGTAACACCCCATCTAAATACCCCAATTAATATGTAAAGATTAAAATCAGAGAAATAAAATTGCACGGAAGGGATGCCACAACACACACACACATTCCAAATTATTTTAAAGAAAAACAGACAGGGTATGTTTGAAAGTATAAGTATTCCAACACCAAACAAACATACAATAAATATTTACTTCATTCTCTCGTGCAAACGCAACGGAGTTTCACAATTTCACATCATCTCCATTATGGAGGAATCAAAACATAATCCAAGGCATCAAGCCATCATAAATCACATGAGCATATGTTATCAAGTCTCTCATATACAAAACATCATGTACACGAATAAGGATTATATACATCATAATCCAAATACAAAATAATCGAGTTCGACACTAAATCAATCCACCCCATGTGTTACTACCAGAGCATCGACTCGACTCTAATCAAAATAAAACAGATTGCAATCCAATGCATCCGTTAGCTAGCGCCTCGCGCTACCGTCCTCGGTACCTGCACAATGCCATCAAAAGCATTGGCCAACAAAAGGGTAAGAATTCCAATAATCATATAACATGTAATTTTAAGTAAATGAAATGGCAATAAATAAAGCAATACATAATGATCATGTTCATTTTATCACTCGTAGTATCCTTACTCAAGGAACCCATTTCCAACACATTAACCATGTAAACCGATTATCCGAAATACTCACATCCTTGGCACATAACCATAATTCAAACAACAACAATATTGGCACATAATCAAAACACATCAACACTCATACATAACATGCACAAATATACATGAGACTCACTACACGACTCAACGTATGCGAATGCGGTACCGACTCGTGGACCCAAAGTTCCACCACCTATGTTTCCCTTCCGGATCAAGGTCACTACGTCTTTTCCCACAATAGGGTCACCGTCTAGATATTGTGGACCCAAAGTTCCACCACCTATATTTCCCTTCCGGATCAAGGTCACTACGTCTTTTCCCACAATAGGATCACCGTCTATAAAATCACGTGAACCCACAGTTTCACCGTCTCTGTTTCAAGACCAACCATGCCATGAAATGTACAATATAACCAATGCATGCAATTGAGATTCACAATAATCTTAACATACACATGCCATCAAATCCAACCAATGGAACATCAACTATTGTACATGCATGCATACATATAATTTAACAATCACAACGTCAAGTAAAATGTATACAAACAAGTTACTTACTCAACCAAAACATAAACCATCAACTATCAAATAATTCCAAATCGGAAAATCGGAACACAATCGGGTTCCAAGGAAAGTGCGAAAATCAGAATTTTGGAGGCTACAGACGCATCAACACGGGCACCCGTGTGCTGCAACACGGCCCGTGTTGAGAGGCCACCAGAACGAGCAAAGAAAATGCCAAGTCAGAGCATCAACACGGGCACCCGTGTGCTGCAACACGGCCCGTGTTGAGAAGCCTGCGTGAAAACTCCACTCTTTTGAGTTTTTCTCATTCTACTACCATGGTTTTCTTTCCCATTTCAATACTCTTAATTTCTACAAGCTAGCACCTAATACACCCACAAACCATACTCCTAATCCAACTTTTCTAAACCATTCTAACAATCAACCAACAAAACCCTATAAATCAACTATCAATTTTACCCCCAAATCTAAAATATATCATACAAAACCTAACAATATGAGATGGAGAATCAAACCCCTTACCTTGGTGTGGGTTTTCTTGAAACAAGATGATGAAGATGTTGCAACTCCAAACCTAGCTTCCTTTCTTCTCTTCTCCTCTTTTCTTTCTTCTTTCTCCTCTTTTCTTTTCTTCTTCTACTACTCTTACTAACTCTCCTTTTCTATTTTATAAAACTATCCTTCTACTACTAACTTTCCTCCCTCTATCTTTCTAAAATTATAATTTGACCCCAACAATTATTTAATTCAAATTATAATATATAACCCTATTAAACAATATTACACTAAATAATATTTATTCTATATAAACCTAATCATGCCAATTAATCAAACAAAGTCAAATATTACTACACACCAAAT